GTGTGTGGTTTGTGTGTGCACGTGTACATGTATGCATATACACGTGGTTTGTATGTGTGTATACAGGTGCGTGTGTGTACATATATACACTTGCAATTTATGTATTACAAGTTTCACCCATTTAAAGTATTCAGTTCCATTGTTTTTAGTGTTTTCATGGGGTTGCAGAAACCATTACTACTGGGACCAGCAGGTGGCATAATGGTTATTTCACTGGACTCCCACGTAGTCGACCACAGTTTGAGTCCTGGATCCAGCAGCTTAAAACTCAGGCTAGGGGTCGCTGGACTCCCACATGGCTGACCATGGTTTGAGTTCTGAACACAATGGCTTTAAACACACGCCAGGTGCATATGTGTACATGACCCAAGATCCCGGGAGAACAGAGAAGGGATGGCAGCGTGACTATCCCCCCCAGGGAGTGATTTCTCTTCCCCTCCTACTGTCTCTGTCTCAAAAAAAAAAAAAAAAAAAAAAAAAAAAAAAGGGCAACTCACACTTGGCACATGTGCATTTGTGCCCAGAATCCAAAGAGAAGAATGAAGGAAAAGGAAATTGCAGCGTGGCCGTCCCCCCGCCCCCGGGGGCTGATCTCTCTCTTTCTATCAGCCTTTGCCATTGATTTTTTTTCATTATTTATTAATTTTTTATTATTATTATCATTATTTCTTCACATATGCTCACCAGAGAGAGACAGAAAGTGAGAAAGCAAGAGCCAGGTCCGGGACTCGAACCGTGGTCAGACATGTGGCAAGTCCAGCACCTCAACCACCATGCCGCCTGCTGGCCCCTGCAGCTGCTTTAACTTAGCAGGTGTTCCACAGCTTGTCCGTGTTGTCATGTGTCAGTGCTTCGGTCCTGTTCTTTGCCCAGTAGTATTCCTTGGTGTGGGTGTGCCGTGTATCCGTAGTATTCGTCCATCTGTCAGTTGATGGGCCTCAGTTCAGTTCTGCTTTCTGGCTGCCGTGAACGTTTCCGTGTGAGGCTTGCACAGACTCGTATCCGCAGGTCTCTTGGTGACCGCCTAGAGTGGGAGTGGACCTACCGTGACTGTGGGCAGCTGTCGAAGGAACCGGCGGGCCCAACCTCCCCCCTCTC